GCTGAAGTTTCTCGGGAAGAATTTCTAAGGGAAATTAACAAACGAACAGAGATGTAACACTATTAAGGATTTGGAGATCTGTATATTGGGGAAACTATACACAAATTAGGTGACAGATTCTGTGAACATCTCCAACTTGTACGCAATGGCACCCTCAACCACCTGGTTCCCAAACACTTCAACTCCTCGGATCACAACGGAATTCACGACATAAGTGTACTTGTTTTATTATGTGCCTCTTACAACAAGTATGATTGCGAAAGTCTATTTTTAAACTAAATTCTCTTGCATCAAATGGAATTAATGAACGTTTTTCTTTTAAATTATTACAGGTTCCATCTTTGCCACCCCTGTTAACTTGACACCATCTACACATATTTCCCTGATTATTATTATTATTAGATTATTATTTTATCATTTTTCGAATTTATGTTTATTACTTTTCTGTGTCCTTTTAATTTCTAAAATCCAATTTCTATCACTCTAATACTTGTTTTCCATTTCTAATATTGTTTATAGAACTGCTTCAACAATATTCCTTCTAACAATATTTTTTGTTAACGTGCTCCATGCGGTACACACATAATTTAGAATCTCTTTATATTCTAACCCTTCAGTGATTCTGTCTAAGCTTTTTTTCAATGTAACTCAGTTTAAACTGCCTGACGAAGGGTTTTTGCCTAAAACATTGCAAATAAATACAAAGTTTTTGTCATAGACGTGTGTGTTTTCCAATTTTGAACTTTTTTTTTTTTCATTATTTCAGTATCTTTATGTCCGTATGTTAAGTTTAGTATTTGAAACCATTTTAATAATTGAATCCATGGTTTAGTATCACACAACCATGATTTAGCACATCACTCACTAATGCTGGTTTTATACAGTTAAAATGTTTGTTTTCCAGGCTGGATTTGCATGTGCCTTTGCAATAATGTTGGGAATGTGTATCATCTGTTTGTATACTGCATACAGAATAGTCAAAATGCCAGGGCTGGTTAGTAAGTATTTCAAAGCTATGTTCTATATGTGTTAATTTTTTTTAACAAAAGTAACTTAAATGCAAAAAATGGAAAATTCTCACCTTAGCCTAACAAAACTTCAATAAAATAAAACTTTTCAACTTTTAATTCATTTTCATAGATGTAGTATTAAAGTTTTTTGACAAAACAAAGTAATGAAATTTTTTCTTCATTTCTGTTATCAGTTTGGCTGTTCAAAATTTGACTTGTATTACTATGTAGATGTCACTCTTAAGAGTATGTATTCAGGTTCATTAACATCCACCAGATAAATATCACAACCTGCAATAAAAATCAACTTCAGGAAATGTTTTATAAGGAGTAAATCAATCGTGGACAGCAAAGGAAAACTCGGTGTACAGTGAAAACAAAATCTTTATTAGATGCGCTTTAGTAGTGAAATAAAAATTAGTATTTTGCTGGGATTTTTTTTTGAGCTGGCTGGCTTCATTGTTCATGTCTGGCTACAAAAAGAAGGCTGAAGAAAGAATAATTCAACATTACATTGTTAAAGTTAATCCATAGTTCTAGTGCACAATCCCAGATTACCTGTGTCAGCAACCATTTCCATTATATACACCTTATACCACAAGCTACATTTCAAAACTACAGTATTAGTTTTATATAAAGGTACATCATTGCCTCACTTCAAGATCATATCACTAAGTACATAAGCTCCCCCGTGGCTCAGTAGTAATTCTGGAGGCTTAGAACACTGAAAACTGGGTTTTGATACTTGTGGTAGGCACAACACAGGTAGCCCATTGTGGAGCTTTGTGCTCAACAAGAAGACAAATAAATTAGGTACGTGAAAAGAATAAGCCACAGATAACAAGATCATTTTTAATATTGGAAATAAACGACCTTATAACACCAAAATGTTTTTTTTTTAATCAGTCACTCAATGTTTCGCTTAACAGCTTGGAGCATTCGCTAAAACAAACTGAAACTGACAGTACAAAGCTTCAAATCAGTATTAATATGTCTTCTCTACACCAATATGCATTACAAAAATTAAATAATAAAGATAATTGCTAAGCTGTAGATGTAATAACAATGTCAAGCAAAGAATAATCTGGCAATCAATTACTAAGAAATAGTCAATAGCCTAAAGAGAACATCTTGCTCATGAAGTAAAGTATTGGAAAACTAAGAATAAAATATATTTCATTAAACAAGGATATTAATTATTTTTATTAATTATAAGTGTGTAAATTTGGTTATGAGATGCACTTCTTAATACTAACGTTAAAAGAAACGATGTTGTAAGTTTAAATTTTCACAGCTTACAGTTTAGTTGAAAAGAAGTTAGTTTTATGTATTGTCATGTTTTAATTTCTGCATTATGTTCAATCAGTGTTCCTTTCTTTAGGTGGTGCTTCAGAAGTACTTCTAGAATTTTCTGATGTAGCTCGACATTTGTTGGGGCGTTGGGGAGAGTGGTGTAGTCTTTTATTCTCCCTTCTCACACTTTTAGGCAGTGCTATAGTTTATTGGGTGCTCTTAACAAATTTCACATACTACACTGTTGTGTACATCTATGGTGAGTTTGAAGTCTGTGTAAATATATACACTTGACAAAATACCAGTTATATATGTTTAAAATATATACTGCTGCATTTGATAAAACAACTTATTATGGTCTCTTACAAAATTAAGGATTTCACAAGTGAAATATCTTTACTGTAATTCAATATTAAAACTTAATGTTTTCATTTCATTGTACAAGTAATAATGGATTGAATGAATGATGCTTTATAGAATGAATTGAAACTTGATTATTGTTACGACAGCGGAATTCACGTGAAACTGGTAACACGTAATGAGTTCTAGAAAGATCGGGGAACATCACGAATAATCTGGTCTTTGCTAGGCACCCTCTATTCTTGTATATAAGTGAGCCAGATAATGAATTGGAATAGAATTTCAGAGATAGAGACGGACAATTGAGTCAAGCATGGTAGTAAGTAAAGTGCATGAATCGTTCGTTGTGAAGGCTCGAGTGTTTACCAGACGCCCTCTATTTCGTATATATAAGACCGGCGAGAAGTGACGGCATAGATAGATAGATAGATAATTGCAGACAGACAGAGATGGAAAATTGAGTCAAGCGCGGTAGTGACCGTAAATAAAGTACATGAATCTTTGTGAATTATAGCGTGTGTTTAAGTTGAAGTGACTGTGGATATTAAGTGTATTGCAAAGTTGAATTAAGCAAGAATAAACTAGTTTTATTTAAGAAAAGACTTGTATTGCTGAAGTTTCTCGGAAAGAATTTCTACGGAAAAATTAACAAACACAGAAGTGTCAGAAGTGAGATGGAAAAAAAAAAAGAAGATAGAAATGAGAGGTGGCTTAGCAGATTTGATGGCAGCAATACAAGAACAGCAAAAGAAACAAGAAGAGAGACAATAGCAGTTGCAAGAAAACCTGCAACAGTGGCAGCTCGAACAGCAAAATAAACAAGAAGAGAGACTATGACAGTGGTTGGAGGAGAAAGTAAATGAACAAGAAGAGAAACTACAGCAGTGGATGGAGGATAAAGAAAATAAACAAGAAGAAAGTCTCCAACAATTGAGAGAAAGCCAGAGAACACAAATGGAAAACATTGGTAAATTTCAAAGCACATTAAATACCTTAAAGGATGATTTACTGTCTTTTAAACAAGGAGGTTATATTAGCCATTGACCAAATAAGCCTCAGACAATGGGAAGCCCCTTCCAGACCCCACAGCTAAACCCTAATGCAGACATCTTCAGTCCTGTTAGAAGTCACATCCCAGATATGAATGTCAGCAATTGGGGGTTTATCTAGTATGAAGGAAGCCACAGTAATTCGATGGGAAGGCACCGTGGGAAGCATATAGAGCACAATTTGAGCTCCTGGCAGAGATGAATGGATGTACAGAGGAGCAGAAGGCAGTGCACCTGGCAACGAGCTTGAAGGGACAACCACTGGAAGTACTTGGACAGTTGTCAGCAGACGACAGGCACAAGTATAGAGCACTGGTAGCTGCTCTAGAACTCAGGTATGTAACCCAGAATCAGTCCAAAGTCTACAGGGCTAGGTTTAGGACG